ACAGAACTAGGCAGATGAAACTATGTGCAGTCACTCTAGCAGATATTATCCTCTCCCCAGGATATAATATTGGTGGACTTGGGGAAATGGTGTGTAACAGAGGATTGTTGTAGTTAGAACAAGTACATTTAACTCCATCCTTAGCTGTACCTAGCAAAACTACACTGAAGATGTGTGATGAATTTGATAAGGGATGAGAAGGAACAAATATTTCCCCCTCTTGAATGAGGATGAATAAATATGACAAAGATTCAATAGTTCATTGTCTCATTTCTGGATCATTTAATATGAACAATGCGTGAGGAATACAGTGGGACATCCTTCTTCAAACCTTTGACTTACTCTCTATGAAAGTTCAGTAGTGCTTAGTAAACCTTGTAAAATTTTTCTTAATATACTCAGTGATAAAACTTCAACATAACCTTATCTGTTCTCTTCTGCATTGGTGCTGTGACATAAATAAAAATTCTTGTTTCAATATGCAAAAAAATGGTTTTCAACTAAAGAAATGCATAGATGCATGACATAGAGACACCATATTTTTACCTTGTTTTTCTTTCTTTTACAGAATAGCTGGCATTGCCATTTAAATATTAGTTTCATACTTGTCTTTTAGCATTTTAAAGAGATAATGTGAGAGCTGGTAGATAAAAACATTGTCATTTTGTATGCATATGTGCAGTAATGTGATGTGAAGATAGTAAAAGATGGGAAAACCTAGAGTTTCTTTTTGCCTGTAGGCATTCTGGATAAGCAATGGCACTACAGCGGTGGTAGTGAAATTACCTACTAACACTGGATTTTTAAATTTTCATGTGATCACTTGGGAAATAAGTCTATATGGGTAATGCCACAAATACTGTATACTGTTAGTGAGCTTTTCATGTGGCCATGGGAAGCTTGTGGGACTTAGATTTCAATGTAGTGAGAATTCCTGTTTGTGTTTGTGGATTTTGTGTTTGTAGGTTTGTAGCTAGTGGTTATTCTATTAAGAGGAATTGTGACCCAAAAAAGACTCCACTTCATCTATCAGAAGAGTGGCGCTTTCACTCAGCACTTAGATTTGCCCTCTCTTTTACAAGAGAGAAAATGGTATATTTTAAAAAGTTCCTTATATAAAGGTAAATTAAGCCTTCCTTAAGACCAGCCAAATTCTCTGGGTGGCTCTGGAAATTCCCTTTTGGTGTCACACATCTGGGAATTAACAAAGTTTCAGAACTCTCCAAGGAGAAGTTAGTAGTGCTCTGAATAAAGTCTTTATTCTACAGATTTCAGCCGTGTATCTAATTCCAGAATTTCTCCAAAGTTTAAAATTAGAATATTTGCAATGGACATACAGTTGTTCAAGATGGATGGACATTCAGCAGCTGGAAAGTGGTGTGTCACTTTCCCTGAGCATCATCACACCCAGCTGAAAGCAGAGGTTAATGTCTTGCTGAGTGTCAAAGTTTTGTGCTTGTTGGCTTTTAGTGTTATCCCTTTCTGACATGCAATTTATCTTCCACCACTAGTCCCAGTGAAGTAAAACAGGCATGGAACTGCACAAAATTCTGCATATGAAATTCTGCACCAACCTGTACTTCAGTTTTCAAACCACCAAAGTGTTATAGGAGGCTGGATCACCTCATGTTTCTGGGGGATTTTTCTCTCAATATATATACACACATACATATACACTCATGCTTTGGCCTCCTTCAGTCTTCAAAATGATGCTTGTTTAATTGTTTTAGGGTTTTCAGTCTGGAAATCTTACTGTGCAATGAGCTAATACTCCAGTTTGAAGAAGCTAAAATACCATTTCAAGGCTGTCTTTAAGATTGTGGTGCTGTGGTTAGAGGAAAGATGTCTTGAGAATGTTTTTCCCCACCTTCCCCCATCTAAAACCTTTATTGCACAAAGCAGCAATACTTGCAATTTCAATCTTTTTATGGAATATAAATTTGATGTTGCACTTCAGTCTTTGATTTTCAGTCTTCCCTCAACTGATTTGGCCTATGTGGAAGTAATTTATTGTTTGTTAAGGATGAGAATTCATATTATATGGTGCCTCTGTAATGACTCATTTCTCTTGCTTACGACAAAGAGAGCTCAGTATTACAGAGTTTATTACAGGGATTTGTTTCCTTTTCTTTTCTGGTATTCAGAAGAAAGCTAAATTTGACCACTGTATATTTGCAAGTTTGGTGCTTTATAGGTGTGTGTATATGATGTGTTCTCACTGCTTCTTGAACAGATGCAGTGCATTGAAATGTTAATGCATTTGCTCCATGTTTTACCAACCAGAGTTTGAAATCATTTTGGGACCACCTAGCCATCTACTAGCAAGAAAAGTTGAAACCATAAGAATGTGGTCTGTTGTAACTTGTCAGAAAAAATATGGTGTAGGAGGTGATCATGCAAGTTTTACAGGCAGCTTCACAATTATCAGAGAATTTTAAGAAAAGTGGAATAACAGCAGATTTTTATAAATCAAATGAGAAATCTGAATTGAAACTGAACCAGGATAGTGAAACATCAATGCTGGATGTTGTTGTACATGCCACACATGAGATAAGGAGGGGGTCCCTGGAAAGGGCCCCTTTGGTTTCTGTATTCAGATACCAGCTATGTAAGATGGCCTTCATAATCTCATTATATTTGCATATATTCTAGTAGAAGTAATTTTAAATTTATCAAAAGTGAAAAATACTTAAAATCAGTCTCTATCCCTTTAAAAATCTGGCTGCATAAAAATTTCTATTTGTTAGCTAGCTTGTAAAATTCAGCCACAAAAAAACCCTCCAAACCAAGCTAACCCAAACTACACCCCTCCATCCCAAAGCTACTTGAGAAGTGCTAGTTGATTCTTCATTTTTAATTATTTCATCAATCGTACCATAAATTTTAAGAATTGGGCTCACCACTGATTACTAGTTGAAACCTTGTAGGTTAAATTTCAACTAAAAAGAAAAAGGTAATATTTATTAGGTAATTATTGGGGAAAGTAGGACTTATCAGTGTATTCAAAAATGTTTTGTGCAGAGTACTTTTTTTTTTTTAATCTGTTTCCTGAATATTAAGTTTCTTTATGACATTTTAAAGTTCTCTTAAGACTCGCAGTGCTGTGCTGGAGAGGAAAGATGGCTTGAGGAGCATGTAGTTTGTTTTCCATTATTTGCTTTTGTGATTCTCTGCCATGATCTTAATAATAGTGGAAAAGCTAATGCTTTATATGCATGGTACAGACCTTTCAGTAGTTATAATCTACCAGAAACTGTTCATTACTGGTCTGTCACATTGAAGTGAAACATTTGATAAGTCTCCCCTTTTTTAGCTATATTGCACTTTACGTTATTTATTACTTGCATGGTGTACCAAGCACACTGTGTGTTGGTTTGCCCTTTCCTAAGGAAAGGTAGCCATGCACTGCTGCTTTCTTCTCTTCCTCAGTGGCACGTGGATCTAGAGTAAACAATTTGCCTGGAATGATTTGGAAATAGCCGTTTAGTTAGTATGCTCTACAATTAGCAAAAGTTCAATTAAGTGTTAATAAATAAGGGATTTTCTATCATCTTTAGATGTATGGTCTCCTTTTACTGTATTCAACTTGTATATCCAAATAACTGTAGAACAGTTATGTGCATCATACATATAATTTGTGCTCAGCACAATCTATCAAATATCCAGGGATTGTGTGTTCTGAATTCATATAAAGTCTTCCTCCTATCCCTGTTTCCTGTTGCAGAAATGGCTTTTTTTTCCCTCCAGGTTTCACCTAATGACCTTTTGTTTTTAAGACTTCATATGACTGCATTTTAAACATTTCTTCATTCTTGTATTCAGGACTTACTATGTATCAGTTACTTTTTGTCCTATTCTGTGTTGTTCGGCTGCCTCTTTTTCCATATAGAATATCTAGATTGGTGACCTTTCTAATGCATGGTTTTTTCCTCTGTTAGTATCATTTTAGCCTGAGAAGGACTTTTCGGTGTCCTTGCTTCCTCTTGAAAACACTCTCATTACATGCAGCTGCTGCCACTTTCCTTCCACTGATGAAGTTGGTCGCGTTTGCTCACGGCTCTGTAATCAGACACTCTTGACTAAAATCATCTAAAATGTACTTGGAGATAGGGGCCTGTAAAATGACCTCAGAAGAGAAGATGTATCATTTCTTGCTGCTTATCCTCTGGACTTCTCGTGTAGCTCATCCTGCAGCCAGCAGTTGCTCCCCCTGCTTTTGCTCACCGTGGCTGTGGCTGGTTCCTTTGTTCCCGCTGGAGTGAATCGCACCGACCTGTTCATCCTCACTGCACCCTGCCCCAGTGGCTGGAACAGTGTGAACATATGCACTGCTGCTCTGCTCTCCTCCCATTCTGCACTGCTACAAATTGCTATATTGGGTGATGGGCGCTGCCATATGTGCACAGACCATATGGTATTTTCTCCTCAATCTACAGTTGTCTTGTTTTTCATACACTGTAATACTTTGCTATATGCATGTAAGTTCAGTTTGTCTTTTGGAAGCCATTTTTGTTTGCTGGGGTTAGAGGCATATACTTACTTGGGAAACCTAATTTTGCAATAAACAGTTGCTGGTAGTAAAGGATATGAGATAACGCTCTGGATTAAACTGGAGGTAGCTGTTAGAAGTGTTTAAATGATGTCTGTATCTTAAGGAATCAAGCAATGTAACTTGTCAAATTCATTAATATCAGTATGGGGAATGAAACTTGGAAAACATGCGTCCCAAAGAGTTTTCGTGAGCACCTAATTTTGCTTTTGTTCAGGAAGACACATGTCAAATACATGCTAATTATGAGTTCTGCAGCACCTTGACTGCTGACTTGAGGTCTGCAACTCTAGCCACTTTCTGCATTCTTTGAATTCATCTTGGTATAAGATTTTTAAATATTTCAAACAGCAGATGTGCATTGCTTATAGATTTGTGTAAATGTTGGTGCAGTGTGTACAAAATGCATCTCCCATACAATGATCTGTTGACATTATTCTCTGTTGCTTAGCTTCAGACACTAAAGTCATGACATGTGCTGCTGTTTGGAGGATGCCGAAGGAATTGGAATCAGGCAGTCATGAATCCCCTGATGATTCATCAAGCAACACTCAAACCCTGGAGCTACTCTGTCACCTTGACAACACAGCCCATGGCAATATGGCCTGGTAGGATTCTGCATATTTTATACTTCTAGAAAAAGCCTAAAGGATAGACCCATGCTGTTAGTTTTGTGCAGATTTATATTGAAGAAACTATGCTATGCACCTTAAAAGTATTCCATCTTTAAAAAAAAGTATAAATTGGATTTTTAGTCCCAGATGTTTCATAGATTAAAAACATATATTAAAGTCCTGCAAGCACATATGGAGTAACAGCCTGTGTACTGCTTGAATGTGTTTTTCCCCACCTGCCCCCATCTAAAGCCTTTGTTGCACAAAGGTATAATACTTAGAATTTGAATCTTTTGGAATGTAAATTTGATGTTGCATGTAAGTTTTTCTTTTTTAGTCTTTACTCAACTGATTTAGTGTGAGTAATTTATTGTTTTATAAGGATAAGAATTCATTATGTTACATGATGCCTGTGTAACTACTCTTTATCTGTTGTATAAGTCAAGACAAGGAGAGCTGCAATACAGCGAGAGATTATTACAGAAGTTTGTTCCCCTTTCTGTTATTTAAGAGGAAGTTGAATTTGTCCATTATGTATTTGCAAGTTTGGTGCTTTATGGATGTGGATATATGACATGTTCCCACTGCTTCCTGACCAGATGCAGGACATAGAAGTTTTAAGCATCCATTTCTAGCCACAGATGTCTGGTTTGAGCCTTGCAGATTAAATTTTAACCAAAAAAAAAGGGTAAATTGAAGATGCTATTTATTAGGCAGGTCTTGAAATGATAGGACGTATCAGCGCATTCAAAATGTATAGATGACTTTTTTCCTAACATACAGGTTTTCTGAGTGTTAAATTTCTTCATTGTAGCATTCTTTAATTCTTTGCTACATATTTTAATATGAGTACTCCTCCTTGTAATTATTTTATTTTTTAATTGTGGACACTTTTTGATAATTAATATTCCCTACTAAATTGGAGAGATTTTGTTGTTTGTTTTAATCTTTTAAGCTTTGTGCTTTTTGTCTTTTAATTTTCCATAATCAGTTTCTGTTAGATGCCGGAATGCCAGAACTTTGTATGGTAGCTAGATGACTAAAGGATAATTAGGAGGCATATAACTGCTTTTTTATATGAATTATATGAATGCCCAGAATTTTTTTTTTGCTCTAATAACAGATGATAACAAGCTCATGAGCAGTTTTCAGTCATCTGCTATCTGATTTTGTTCAGTACTTAATGCTTACAAATATCTACTGCTATTTAATGCCCTTTACCTATGTGCCTGTGTATATATATGCATGGAGATTTGAAAATGTTTAGCGTTACAGAGAGATAAAAGGTGTTAAGAGAATACTGGGCATTAGTACTCCTCAAATCATCTCAGCAAAGCACAGCTGAGTTAGAGGATCTTGCTTTAGAGCAGACTTTTCTATTCCCTTCTCATGCATATTGGACACAACTCATAAATGAGTAAATTAGGCCTTTTGTGCTAAATGTGTCACATAAAGGCCACACCCCACTGAGTGGTGTGTTTTCTGCAAATGGTGAGGTTCTTTGTATTACACTACTTAAGTGTTTAGAAAAACATGAAGCCCTTAGACAGTAATGGTTTGGTTGCTGCTGGAACCAGGCAGGAATCAGAAAAGTCATTTTCGTCAATGCAAAGTATAAACACTTCTCAAACCACAATGTAAGACCAGTGTTCTGGTGTGCACAACCACTGTGAGATCAGTGGTGGTCTTACACCATATACTTGCATACTGTCATTTGCCTTGCCATTAGAGCACACATACCCTTTATGTTTTGCCTGGAAAACCACAGGCTGAATGCTGGATCCGAGTTTAGTGTGACCATGATCCACAGCATGCTGCAGCAGTGTGAATACAGCCATGAATGATTTGATACAGGCTTCATTTTTAAAGTTAATTCTGACTATTATTAATCAGAATGCATGCTAAAAAAGATTAAATAAAAAACTGGGCTTCTATCATATCTTTATATGCAGGGCCTGGAGGAGTGGGCAGAGTTGCCAGTACTGTTTAGAGATGGAGCGTGTAATGTTGGTGTCAACCTTTGTGACAGTGGCTCCAGATAGCAGCTTGTGTGTCTTGGTATCCATTGCACAGATGCTTAATGAGATTTATGGATCTGGTTGCAGATCATAAGTAATTGAGTTTTGATTTTAAATCAGGAAAAAAAGCAAAACTATCTTGAACATGCAACTGGTTATGTATTCTAGCATCTACCATCATCCTCAGGGCTTTATTTGCTTGTAGTTTTTCTCATGTTTACCCTGTTTTGCTTCCTTCCTTATCATGCTTTTTTCAAGGTAAGCCTGGTAGCTGAAATTTACCTCACAGATTTTTGTTTCTAGTATCATGCACTAAGAAACACAAGGGGTGGGTTTTTTCTAGGTCTGGTGTGTCAGGAATTGGTTTTGTTCAACTCTGTACTGATGTTAAACTGATTCTGTAATTTTTACCTTTCTCATCTCCTTTATGGAATTCTGTGCTCCAATTTCTCTGAAATTTCTTACTAAAAACCAGCAGAGACATGCTTAATACCAGTTCTCTTTTGTAAACCAAGACCAAAAGAGGGTTTTCAATCAATTTTGACTAAAATCTTTAACTTGGCTGTTGTGTTACTGAACACTGTGCCCTTCCCACTCAAGATCTGTTGAAATAATTTCCTAGTCTTGATAAAACCTTTGGCAAAAATCTAATATCCAAGACATTACAGGCAAGTGAAAAAGAAATTTGCTTTTCTACAGTTCCATTTTATCTGGATTGCATGAGTTACTGTGTTTAAAAATTAAGCATAACCTTTCATTTTTAATATCTGAGATTGTTTACTGACTCCAAGCTTTGAATTTGGGACTCATCACCATTTTTACTCAAACTCTTGTATGGCATAAAGAGAGTTCAGAAAATTAAACAGATGCTTAAATTAGGCCAACAAATAGGCCTGTTAATTGTTCTGTTTGATTCTAGCCTAAGATTTTTTCATCCTCTGCCTACTGTTCCTCATGTAAGCCAAAATGGAAGGATTTCAAGTGCAAAAATCCTGAGTGAATTACTTTCAGTGTGGAAAACCCCAGATACACACAGAAATTTGTGTGTTTAAAAAGAAAAAAGTCTTTTCAACAAATTCCTTCTGTAAATAAGTGTATGTGTTCGTAGAGAGTTAAACCCATATGAGAGCAAGCATGTTGGTCTATGCAATGTTGTAAGATTCAACTAAAGGAACTTGCCACTGGATATCTTGCAAGAAGCAGTTCTGTCCAAAGTACTGTCTGTATAAGAGAGGCCAAGGAAATGGGACAGCAGTTAATGAGATTTTGATTATTCCCCTGAGTGCAGCTTGGAGGAATCCCCAGAACTCTTGTCTGGTAAACCCCTGAAGACTTGTATTTTAGTATTTAGAATAGTAACCTCCTGTTCTCTCTCAGTTTTTGCTGCAGACTCTTTTGGTAGTAGACTTGACAGGATAGTCCTTGGAGAAAGAAGATACTACAGACCATAAGAGAAAGTATAATCTGTGAGATCTTGAATTCATAACACAGCAGGGAGTTTCTCTTGATTCTGCTGGAAGCACGCTTGCCTCTCAATGCTTAGCATCTTACTTTTCACTTTCCAAAGGTGGCAGATATAAATTAGGGCAGATCCTGTTCAGTACTAAGCTATGTACTTCAAAAGAGAGGGGAACAAGTGAAGTAAGTTGGATTGGGATCTAAATGTGGAATAAAATGAAAATAAATAAGGGGAAGTGTTAGATGAACAGTGAAATACAACTGTAAAGGGAAAATTAATGGAGGTTACAGAGGCAATATAAGTGGAGACTCAATTCTGAGAAATCTGAAAGGTGAGGAGTGAAGAATTCTTGTTCTATGTAGAGCACAAGAGCTGCTAAAAATTGTTTGAAAGGGATGAATGAATATGTTAGTAATAATGATAGATTACTTCATTAGGCTGCTTTACTAGCTCAGGTTGATTTTTTTTTTTTTTTTTGGTGTATCCCACTCAATCAATCCTAGATATGAACATGCAAATATTACCATATCTAAGAGACTGTAGAGAGGAAGAGAAATTATCAATTCTTTAGAGTCACAGATGTTTCAAGAACTCCAGGATGTTTATCACTAAAATATTAAATTAGAACTTTGAATTCACAAAGGAGCAAGCTATTATAAATGAGCTGTTCTCACAGATTTTAAATGCTTAGATTTTATTTGGCATTTTATTGAAGGTCTCCAAGTAGAGTACAGAGAAGTACCGTCTCTTCCTTGGCCATACACAGTACAAATCAACCTCATTAAGGCTGGCTTTTTAGAGAAGTACAAAATTCGCTCTTATAGTCCTTTCAACTTGAGTAGAAATTTAATACATAATCTTTTATTGCATCATCATGTTCATTCCATTAATGCACACAGTCACCTGATCAAAGTTAGACTCATTCATAATTGATGCCCTGAAGACAGTTGACTGAAATCCAGTAGTGTTTTACTTAATTTTTTGGCCTTTAAATTTATTTTAAAAAACCCAAAAGTCCACAAAATCAAGCCATCCCAAAACATTTTCAAGTAAAAAAGCCAAGTAAGAGAATATGAAACTCAAAAGTGAAAACGGTGTTTTTAATAGCTCTAACACTTTCATGTGTTATTCAGGTATCACTTCTCTTTCCTGTCATGATGTTGGTGATGTTACTTCTTCTCTACAACTCCTTGTAAGCTTCAGGATGTATGTGTAAAAGTTCTACCTTAGGGTTTCACTAAAAAAAAAAAAAAGAAAAAGTCTAAAATAATTAAAATAATTTAATAGCTTGTACCTAATGAATATAAACCTGAAAGTAACAATACTTTTAGAACCATCATATGGTCTTGAATATGTGGTACAGTAACTGTTAGAGATGTTTTATAGCAAAGGCATGTAATAAATGCAATCATAAGTTTTTTAATCCTATCTTATTTTAACACTTCGTATGTCCTACTACCTGGAATGTAATTGTGAGGACAGAGCTCCCTCTGATATTTGTATAGAGGTTTCTTTGAGAATGTCAGGACTGTCAGTTCCATATTCTGGAGTATAAAATTAACTCTGTATTTTTGAGTGGGGGGTGAGGGAGGCTGGGTTGTAACAGCTTCCCAGCAGGTATTAATTGTATCTTCACACGATGCACGACATTTCAGAGCCATCTGAAATTGTCAGCATTTAAGAATAATTCTTCACACTTGGTTCATTCCACATATTCCATCAGCCAATTCTGGTATTACAGTAAGTATAGAGACAGTTTTTTTTGACTAACTTACTAAGTGACAGCTTTCACTGGGGATGTATCTTAACATCTTATCAGTGCTGATACTGCCCTTTATATTTTGATCCTTTCTAAGATGGTAAAAGTTTAAACTGTATTCATGTCTGTTCTCTTCATAATTCCATGTGATCCTGAATTCTTAACAGGATTTTGGTCTCTTTAATCTTTGATTTGTCTTTATTGTAAATAAAATAATTTATTATATATAAATACAAATGTTCAGTGTTCAACCATTCGGTGACTTTCTTACATTTTCTTACATTTAAAATATGTCTCAAACCAGCAGAGGAATTTAGAATACTCATTTTCTCGTTTTCATTCCCTTGAATGTTTGTGGTAATTTTGAGTGGTAAGTATTGTGCAATTTTAAAATTTAGTGCTCTTCAATGTCATCATTTTTCTAGGGAATAAATGTGATTGATTAATTGGGTACTGAAATAATAGAACTTTGTATTATATGCCCTGTTTGTTATGTTAGCTTTTAATCAGAATTTGACTCTACTCATGCAAGGAGGGAAACTTAGTCAAGCTAAAATCTGACACTGAAGCAAATACTAAAGGGAAAAGTAGTTATTTGTTCTTACTGTATGTATTCAGTTAACTTATAACTTCTAATAAGTTAAATAGATTCCATATGCTTGAATGAAAATTAGTTTTTATGAGATCTTTGCAGCTGTTTTTGTTTAGTTTGGATTCATAAATCATGATACAGAAAATAGTGCAGAAATTGTGTTACTCTGCTAGTTAAAAAAAAAGGGGTTTGGAGAGTAGTATTTTACTTCTCCATCCCAACTTCAACATAGTTTAGTTTCTGTTCTTACCATATTCCCCAGTTTTACTACTAAGTTAGTTGAGATTTTTCCCCACTGAAAGAAAATTTAGCTGTTTTTAAAAGGGGTTTTCTTCCTCTTTGTAATGTCACTTAAGCTATTCATACCACTAAAAAAACTGAGGGTTGAAGTCAGCCTCAGCTGATTTTGCAGGTGAAATAGATACTTCTGTTTATTCTACTACTATTCTTTTTGTTCTAAGAGTTTTATGTTCTGTCTTACTGAATTGCTTAAGATGTTAGTGGGAAATGTTAAAGAAAAACAGTGTTGGAGAACTGTGAAAAAATCAGTTATGCAGGAAAAATTTAAATGTTCATGAGGAACTAATTGAACAGGTGCCCCTGTTTTCTTGGTATCAGACTCCAGTTTGCTCTCCAAAGCCCCATTATGAATTTATTATTTAGAATATTTATCCCTTAGGGTAGAATTCTTTACAGCGCAGTATTCTGGGATGACTATAGATATAGCAATGTTGCTGCTGACACTTGCTTACACAGTAGTTAAAAATTCAGGGTTTTGAAATGTCTTTTGGATGCCTTTTGGATGAAATAATTGACCCTTGACATTTATGATCAAGTGTATCTATTTGGTAAAATGTCTGTGAGACCTGAAGGGGTGCCCTGCAGCCTCCCACTGTCCATCCATCCCAGTGTTTGTGCTCCAGCTATGGTGATGGAGAGGTAAATTAGGGAGACCACATCAGTTACACTCCCAGCTGCTTCTTGCAGTCTCTTCACCTCAAATTCCCCCAGAATTAAGAGTTGCAGGATTAGAGGTGTTAGAGGGTACATCTGTGCTAGGTCTGTGTAAACCTTTAGCATTCTGTTCTTCTGATCAGGAGTGGTGATTTTCTTCAACTATCAATGCAGATCTAGGCAACCTAGATCATCTTAGGCATGTGTTTTAAATCACTGGAGAAATATACTCAGAGGAATATTCTGCTTTCTTAGCTTTGAAAAATCCCTTATGAAAACACTCAAATTGTCCCTCTCAAAAGTAGATAGGTTTTTTCTTTAAGGTAAGTCTGCAGTGATTGTTTTTGTAAATAAGTTTGTTTCAGCCCTTAATTTTTGCCTTAGTATGTGGGAAAAAATATTGTCATCCTGAGGCCTCCAGAGGCTGGACAAGAGTTTTGTCTGTGTGTTTTCCTGACAGACACTGATATTACAAAAATGCTTTTCCTAGGCTGAATACCTTACTTGAGCTACAGACAAGCCAGTTATATGTTTCTTTGCTGACGTGTCAAACATCCATAATATTCACTTGTGAGTTTTTTAAGCCCTGTTCAAGCAACAGAATAGAAATGGTGTCTGTGGCAGCAGCTGCTTCATGGATAGTGTGTCATATATATGAAAATTTAATTTAAAAAATTTTAGAAAGAAGTGATTTTTCTGTGGCACCTCCCTTGTCGGGATGCTTTTTTATTTGTAAAGCAGTTTAATTTTTCTGAATATAATAATAACACAGGAGTCAAAATAAAGCCCAGCTGTCTTTGGGGTTCTTGTCCAAAATAACCCTTCATTTTTTAATTCTCACTAATCAACAGCTTTTTAGCTAAAATGTTCACCTTACCTTCTAGGTTTTTTTTTAGGAAGCTGTGGTTCTCGTTTCACCACATCTTCAGCTGCACTCTGAATTAGATCTCAATGTCTGAGGATTTTGAGATGAAGTGTAACTTGTGTTCCCTGAAGCTCAATACACTGTAAAATAGCCAGAACTGATTTCATTCAGAAATGTGGCTGTTTTGTAGAGCACTTGGGTAGGGAACAAGATTGTGGGTTCCAGGTTGTACTTGGTCTGATTTCCTGTCTCTTAGAATTAATGTCCTGATTATCTGATAAGCAAGAGTAATCTTTAAATTGGAATCATTGTAATGCAAAGCAGGCACAATATTTGAGTTCTTAATATGTGAATTTTTCTGGTGGGCTGCATGGAAGCTGCAGGATGGTCTGCTGAGTTACCAAATGCATGGGTATATTTTCCGTTTTTCAGTGCATGAGTTTTCAGTCCAGCCAAATTTTTCTATTAATAGAAATAAGTGGTTGTCACCTCTGTAATTGCAGTTAAGCAGTAGTTAATGTTTGCTTTGTCCAACAGTTGTGGCATAACTGCAGCTCATATCAATGAAAGTGTATGCATATTGGTTTTTTTCTTCCTTTGTCTATAATGGAGGAGTTTGAATTGTTCTTTTGTAAAAGTTCAGTATGTTTATTGATAAAAGTGTTAACTATCTTTGCAGCATGGGAGAAGATAGTGGGTTCCTTTCATGTATGCATTTGAGTGAATATTTTAAATACTCTTATTTTTTGCTAAGGTAATGTTCTCTTTAGGATTTAATTTTATTTTTTAATACTAAAAACTACTAGCTGCAAGCTTTATTGAAGCATCCTGAGTTAGATGATAACAAAACAGGTAAAATACAACATATATAATTGCTTGTCTTCTGTTTATAGATTATTTAAAAAGCAACCGTGAAGTTGCCACTCAGTTTCTGCTCTAGTGCAGGGTTTGGGAGGGCTTTTGGGGGAACCATGAGACCTCCATCACCTTTCATGGGGTGAAGGGGCCCCACAGCTGAGCTCTGCACAGCGGAGGATGGGCGGTCACTGCCTCTCTCCAGAGGTTTGTGCACCACACACCCAAAGCCTCTCTCCCCCCACCCTTTGGTGTGAGGGTCCGTGCGAGCCTGGCAGCTGGCAGCCCTGGGCTGTGGTCTCCAGCTCAATCCCTCTGGGAATGTGTTCTTCTTCCCAGCCCAGGCCTGAGTCACTTGATCTCCATCAACGTGCAGCCCAAGGCTCCATTCAGGGTTTGGGTGGTTTTCTTTGCAGCTTTTATACAGTTTTGCTGTAATAGGCAGAAGTCTTTCATGAAGATGTTGAAGCCATAAATTATAACATTTCAGTCTCCAACCATCCAGTTACTGAATTGATTCACGCAAAAAGCAAAACAAACTAAAAAACTTGGGTCTAGTCATGGGCTGCTGCTAAACTTCAAGCAGTGAGACTTCAGCTAGGCTCTAAAAATGAAAACAGCATATCAAATGCTTTTAGAGAGCTGAGGGTTCAGTCTTAAAATGGAGAGAAGTTTCTCCGTTAGCCTATTGATACTAAAATTATGATCTCTACCCTCAGGTATATTGTTGGTCTAAAATTATTGGGAGGCTGCAGAACTTGGTTGCAAAAGTGTTAGAAAATTACAAAAACAGAAGCCTATTCTCATAAAATGACAAGTATTCTTTCAATCCTGCTGTTACCTCCAGCAAATTTATTAGGGTTAGAGTGCCTAGTTAGTTAGTGGAGCTGCCCTTACTGACTGGTTTGAATATGCTGCTTTTCATAGACAGAATAAGAGAGGAGCACTGATTTCTTGCATTCCTTCCTGTATAGCGTGAAGTGAATCACAGGTGAAAAGTATATGCTGATTAAGTCATGATGACAGCTGAAGAGTTGGAAGAAGTTTGCATCAAAACTAAGGCTTATGATTTTTGGTGCACCTTGAAAAAGCATGCATAACAATCCATATGAACAACTCTGTAAAGCCTTCTAAATTAGTATACATCAGGGTCTCTGGTTGTATTTCTATGTATGCAGAATGACTGCTACAAGTTGCTAGTTAATGGCAGATTTTGGACTTAAAATATATGATGGATTTCATCTAAAGGAAACCAGAAGGAATGTGGTTTAACATATTTTGGTATAGATTAGATCCACAGAATTAAAATGGCTTTCTAGTTCAAATTCTGATGGATTTTACTGTTGTTTTTCTGTTTCTGTTTTGCAGTGTTATGTGGGAGCCAATGGGAGATGGTAAAAAGATTATTTCACTGGCTGATAACAACATATTATTGTGGGATTTGCAGGAAAGTTCAGCCAAAGCTGTGGTAAGAAATTTTCTTTTAACAAAACATGGTATACTTGAATATAGTCCAAACAGCAGCATTCCTTAGCTTAGAATTTGCTAATCTTTTAACTGTTCCTTCAGAAGTATCTCATTGCCTATAAGGTAGGTGGGGGAAATGAATATTCTACCATTGTCTTATTCAAAAGTGTTTAAGAGTGGTATTTTAGTACCTGTCGGTAGTGGGTAAATGTTTTCTGCTCCAGAGTTCCCCTTACTGTCCTTCTGCTTTTATAGTGAGAAATCTAGAATAAAGCAGTTCTGATTTGGTGAATGTCTACAAGTGGAAAAATTAGTGATCAGTCAAGCCAAAGGTTGCTGAATTCAGATAATGGTGTAGTAACTCACATTAGTTAATATCATGCAGCCCTTTATTTAATTTACAACTCTTGATTGTATAAGCATAATATAAGTTTCTCTATTTGCTATGTACTGATTTGAATTTTCAATGTTAGTTTAATTTAGTAATATACAGTTTATTCAGATTATTTCACTTATTGTTAAAAATGTTATATTCAGGAACTTATATAAAAAGTGCTATTGGCATAGATTTTTGTCTGATTATGCCATATGATAGAAGGTATATAGAAAACTTTGAATGATTCCATTTAGTCTTTTAGATCAGTGCCTGTGCTTATAAATGGAAACTTGTTATGCCAAGGACATTGCTATTCAATTGATCTATTGTCACCTTTAACTCCTTAGGTCAGGGTTAATTCTTTTCCTGGATGCTGCAGAATCAGTTTTTTCAACTTAGTCAATACACTGTGTCCTAAAATCTTTCCTGTTTATACCACCTGACTGCCTGCAAATAGATGACAACGTAATATAATATAGTTTAATACTTTGTGTTTATAATTAAGCCCTTTGGGTTCCTTCTCTAGATGAGAAACTGTAGGCGTTTTTCTCACCTGCAACTTCAATAGTTGTTATGTTGCCTTCCAAGCCTTCAAATTAGTATTTGTTTTTATCAAATGGATGTTGAGACTTTCTGACAGCTTACCTCCAGGAGCTTGTCTGTCAGGCAGTGTATCCCCTGCATTACACCTGCATTAATTGGTATTTCTTTTCTAATGTCTGCATACTACACAAACCTTTCTACAATATTGAAAAAGTACTTTTGGGTTGGTACTGCTTCCATGCTATGGGTCCTCATGTCTCTTTGAAGTACTGAGACTGCTAGGCAACTTAGCCTAACTTAACTTTTCCCCTTCTCCTACTTTCACTCCTTGTGCAGTTCTGTCCTCACTTGCTGAAATTCTTTTGAATGTTAATGAATATTTTCAGTGTTTGACCTCTTTCTCATAACTCTCTCCGATTTTTTCTTAATCCTAACCTCCCTCCCATGGCAGGGGATTGGCATTAAATTATCTTTAAGGCCCCTTTAAACCCAAACCATTCTATGACTCTGTGATTTCCTCTAGGATGCTGTGTGGTGTATCATCAGTTTCTCTGTGGAAATCTTGTCATGAATGCCAAATTTTATGGGGTTTTTGTTCCTCATTTTATATTGCTTGGGAATTATTTGCTAGAATTTTGTATGTTGTGTCTTCCTTATACTATTTTTTTATCAAAACTAAACCCCTACTCTATCACACAAATATTTGTGCAGATAACTATGATTTCCATTTTCTTTTCCTTCCATTGCTAGAATTATGATCTGTGTAATTTTGGAGAGGAATAGATGCTATCAAATTTTGTAATTTCAGCATGATTTGAGGAATCAGTATTTTTATCCTCAAAGCAGCATTCAGCTTGCAGATCCTTTCAGTATTTCAAGTAGCATTACTTATTAGAGTATTTTTTAATTGGTACTTCTAAAATATTCTTGTACTACATCAGATGTTGATGGCACAAAAGAACTCTAGAAGGCAAAGTGATAAAGGAATTAAGGGGATTTAACTTGTAACATTATATGTTTATATTTTTATGAAAGGAAAATAATACAAGCAAATGTGAAGTTCTGTATCAAGGAAACCACTTCACCTAAAGAAGTAGATATATCAACCCTTGATTGACATCCTCAGATAAGAGCATTTAAAAATCTTTGTGAAAAACCTTTGTTTGCAGAAGTTAAGAATGTTGTTCACATTTGACAATCAGGCCCTCAGGAGGCTTGATATTGAATTTGACTGATCCTCCACATTTCCATCTAATCTAGTATCTCATGCGATTGCACTGTAAACAAGCATTATTTGTGATTAAAATTTTACCTCAGGATAACTGTTTAGCATAATCAGTCTTCTGCTCCAGCAGCTTTGAGTTGTTCTTAGATGATACTTACTTCAATACCAAGTCATACACTGCTGTTGAAGTGAAGTTTGATAAAGTTCACTGAAGCTTGAATATCAGAAAACATATCTCCATGCATCAAAATCTTGAGCCCAGCGAGTCACTTCTCAGATGATTAGAGTTCTTGAAATTTTTGAATGTTGAATTTTTGTCTGCAACAAATTTGTTTTACACGTGTCTGTAGATTCCTGAGCTAGCTGGAGTCCAGCTGAACAAGACTGAAGAAAGCATAAGCTTCTCTTTAAGAGGTCTGCACAAGAGTTTCTAGTAATGAAATTTAAGACAAGCTGAAGTCCAGTATCATAGGCTTTTTCAGGACTAGAAGTGACTGTGGTGCATTTCTGAAATATTCAAAGACTGCCTTCTTAATAAGAAATTAACTGTATACTTGTATATATGGCTGAAAAATAATAACTTTTATTTTGTAGCAATTTTATATTTGCAAAAAATATATATGGCTGACAGTTACAAAGAGCAATAAAGAAAAACAAGCAATGTTTTGTTACACAGTTGGCTTTCCCTTAAAAAAAAGATAAGAGAAAACCCCTCCTCCATAAACCAACACTCTACCCCAATTTTTGCTGCTGTAGTATTTAGAATGTGAGAGAAATCTGTGTGAACAGGTTAATTATAAAACAGATAGCATTAGTAGAGGTAAGTAGTAAATATATTTTCCATTTGGTTTCCACCATGGACAAGGAGTGTTTGTAGGCTAATCACTGGTGAAACAGTGATTTCTTTCTGTGAATATCCTGTTTATAAGGGATTGTTGCATGCATAATATATCATAATGCTAAAAAGCACATGATTTCTATTTTAATGATTTTTTTATCAGAATGTAAAATGAGACTTTATTGAGATATTAATAAAAAGAGCTTTTTTTTTTTTTGTCCTGGAAAACAGATATAAAACAGCCTAAAGCAAAGAAATCAGGTTTTGCCATATTAAAAAAGAGGCATGTCAAAGCAAATTAAAAAAAAAAAAAACCAAACAAAAAAACCCCCACAATATTTCCTTTATATGCAGTTACACGGAGGTTATGTAAATGACAAGAGAAGTTGTCATTACTGTTCATTAAGATGAAAGGTTGTCCATTTTTGGGATCTCTTAGCCACCTGATGTCTTATCACCTAACGTGCTTTGTTTCAAGCAGGCAGTGACTAAGCAGGATGTAAATGGTGTTGGGGAAGTGTCCCTGTGTGACCATCCAGGAGTCACTCTGGCAGTCACACTCCCATGGGCAGAGACTTTGGGCAGCTCCAGTGGGCTGACAGGGTCCTGCTGGACTCCCTGCATGCCCCAGCTCACACATTCCAGGTTTCCCATAGCAGTCTCTCAGTCCTCTCCATCCCTTAAGTCATTTAATCACAGTGCTACAGCATAACAGCCTGGGCTGGTGCCTCTCATGAGTGACCCTGAATAAAGACAATCCTGAGGTTTTATACCCTCCAGTTTATGCAGCTAAAGTCTGAGGTCTTCCTTCCCAATCCTCTGCTCCGTTTGTGTCTCTGACTGTCCAGTCAACTGACTGTGACACAGGTCCCTGTGCCTTTTGTTGTGCAAATGGTCAGTGCTTCTTTCTAGCCCCTTGCCTCAACTCCCCCCACCGTCCAGAGTTCAGTCTGCAGTGGCACACCAAGCTAGCTCCACTGAATGCTTTCCTCAACACTAGTGAACTTATATATTCTGTAGGGATCGCTAAGGGGAGAACATCTTTATGTGCAAAATATGCATGTTGTGTAGACTTGTAAGTAAAATAGCAGTGTACTTCTTTGTGTATATATGTGTTATTACTAAAAATGGTGTAACTAAAACTTAAATCAGGAGCCTAGGATTAAAATAATAGCAGTGTCAATGTGTTTGAATTGTTTTCTCTTTTTGTAAAAAACACATGATGGTGTTCAAATTGAATAATATCATCATTGTTAACTAAAAGTAAGATCAGGTCCACTGTATCTGTATCGGGCAATAGAGGTAAGGGGGTATTCATTACACTGGTGCATCACTGCTCTTCCTGTTTTTACAACACCTTTCAATCGCTTCCCTATTTTTGCATAGGTACATATTATAGGCCATTTTAATGGCAAGAGGTAAACTAAATGCTACTTTTATGGACCTTTCATGTTTATGAAAGTTTGTCTAAAATTCAGGTATAATATAAATGAAAAATTGAAAATAATGTGTGTCTTCAAAATTTTGTGTCGGCCAGAATTTCTGCTTCTCTACAGTGATCAAAACTTCAGAGTCTTATTTGGTTTCTTTTCTGTATCTGCCTGTGATTTACAAGTCACATTGTTTCATTAAAATTAGCCTGAAGAATTGTGCAGTTCCCAATAGAATCAGAGCTTCTTGGTAATAAAATTATTGGTGTGTTCATTCTCTGAATTATCTAGTCAGCTTGGGATAAGAAACATTTGCTATCTGTAATTTAGTGTACAGTTCAGTGGATTTGTTTGGGTTCATTTTGGTTTTGGTTTGGGGTTTAGTTTTTTATTTTCTTTCAGTGTGCTTTTTTGCTAACTTGTTTCCACCTTACAGTGTTCAATTTGCCTGTATTTACATTAAGACAAGCTTCTCCTGTCCTTTTGATCACTCCCTTTATTATTGTTTTGAGGACATTACCTTCTGGGGTGAAACTAATCTTATGCTCACTGCATCATTACCTTTTGCAATTAAATTAGCTATTCTTTGCCATTTATAATCATTAGCTGGACCCAAGAGAAGCCCAGACAATGCACAAGGTGTGGATAGAATCTGCTGAGAAGAAGACAGTTAATATTTCTGTGTACAGATTTGAGGTCAGATGTCAACAAATTGCTAGAACTCTTCCTCGAGTAAATGCAGTATGTTTGGCATGGCAGATGAGTGCAACAGAATGAAATAGAGATATTAAAATCTAGATATTTTTCTGTTTTTCATATGTTTTCACAAAGGGGACAAATAGAGGTGTGGGTTTGATCATTCTAATCCAAACTATTATAATTATATTCCTTTTAGATTTCTTGTGGATTATTTAGCAGCATTCATGTTGTCTTGGTTCAGAACAACTGATAATATCAAGCAGTGGCATTCCAGGCAAGGCAGAATATATTTTGGGGAAGATTTCACAGGTTATCTGGATAAAAGTGATGTATCCAAATAGAGAGAACATTAGGAATAAGCATGAGATGCTTTCTTGGCAAGATAGATGCTATTTCTCAAGGCAGGAAATACCTTGTGGAATTCAGTGAAGAATTTTTTAGCACCCCATTATTACTGCAACTAAAATAAACATAGATTAACTATAGGAGGGCAGAAAACTGTCAGAAGAAAAATAAAAGGGAAATTACTGGATCAGAATGAGAATAGAAACCAGCTCATAGGGTTGGAATCAATTTTATTTAATGGTCTCCTAAACGATAGAATAGAAGTAGGAGTGAAATAATGAAAATTATTGCTGGCAGAGCTTGGAATGCATCATCAGCATATAGGAATAACAATATAGTTCAGAGAATGAACTTGATGTTTAGTTTAATTTTTGTAGTATAAAGCAGAAAACTTATGTTTAAGGAATAAAAATATTTTCTTACTGTAATGCAGTAACTTAGTACTTAAAAATATGTGAATTGTGTTACTTAGCTGTTCTGAGAATAGCTCTGAGCTGCCAATATGACGAGGCTGTTTGAAATGACAAAAGTTTTAAGGTGGTTCAGGAGTCAAGAACAGTTATGAAAGGACTCCATGGCATGGTTTCCTGCAGTTGGAGGAATTGAACTCAATTTACCATCCTCATCAACTTTTTTGTTTCTGTCAATAACAAGTTAGAAAAATATTCATGCCTTTTAATGTCAATCTCAAAATAGTCTGCTTGAGTTTGTCTACTTAGTGTAGCCTGTAATATGTCTTTCTTCTAAGTACTTTCTTGTTCTGTTCTTGGTCACATAGCTCTTTTCTTGGAAGACAGCATGAGCAGTTGGTTCACTGTCTCCATGCTGCTTGTCGTTTTCCCAGACAATTTCTGTACCCTTTACCATTTAATATGGGTTTTGGGTTTTTTGAAGGATAGTGCCTGTCCTTTCCTCTTTCCAAGTCAGACCTTATGTAATCAAATTTTGAAGCAGGAAAATCAACCTCAGTCCTTGATATTTTGACAAAAATAAATTGGTGTCATTGATACTTTGATTTGAATACACAGAAATCAGTCCTAGATCTAGGATATTCTAGGACAGATTTTTTTCATATTTTGGTACTTTGTTTTTGTAAAACCCTTTTCTTCACTGAGGATTACATAAACAATGTAACATGGTCAGAATAGAACTGTTTAATATTTTTTGAAGATTTTTTTTTCTTACGTCAAAGTGTTGCTGTAGTGCAACTGTAGTATAATATGCTTCTCTTCTATTTTTGTTCTTGTGTCACCAGATTTAGGCATTGTTCCAGCTAATCATTTACGAATAGTGTAAAATCCATCCATACTCCAGTAACCATTTTACACTGTTCAAGATCATTTTCTCCAGACTTCTTTTCTGAAATCAGTGTGATCCTTGTGCATTGCAAGAGTAATTCCTATTTTTGTTGTCTAAAAGTAGACATTCAGTCTTAGGCTATTCTTTTCCCTTTTCCTTAATGTAACTCCCATTTTGTGTTTATAAAATAATATCATGAATTGTTTGCCTAAGGTATCCTGTGAGGCCCTCACACCTGCATGTCTTCATCCCCTGGGCAGCACAGATCTTAACCTTCATGCAAGACTAATGTTTAAAATACACCTATGTCATGTTTTCCTTCCCTTTTGTAGTTAGCTTTTCTGCATTTAAAGACATGGAGGAAAGATTTCAAGATAAAAAGTGCACTTACTTACCTGTCCATATATTCAATATGAATTAAAATTACAACTAAGGTGTTTTTGAACCTGCATTTGTGATTCTGAGCTACCAATTTTGTTTCCTTTATTTCTTGGATGTCTAGGAAGGAAACTTGTATACTTCCTTCTGTTACATAAGAATTCCTTTTTATGTATGAAAATGTCTCTTCTTTATCTCCAAATTGTCCTTTAAATCCTTTCAGTTGCTTTCAGGTTCACAGATGACATGGAAAAGAAGACCAAGTCAGTTAAAAACTTGGCTGTATATATAGCTGGATATCTGTATAAGGAAAGGGATATCTGTAATTTAATTTACTTATTAATTGTTTATGAAGCCAAGGATGAATTGACCCATCTAGCATATAGGTGATTTTTTTCATATGTTGTTAAGAAATATCACAGTATGTGTGTGCTGGCCTCAACCCTAAACTTTTGACTGCAAAGAAGAAAAATCTGATATTTTTATAGTAGCTTACATTATAAAAGTTAAAATGAGAAGACACATTATATATATATATATATTTATATATATATATATATATATATATATATATATATATATGCTGGAGAAAGTATAGTCTACTGCTGACAAAGACCCTCTGCCCTGAGTCATGTTTTGAATATTATGATGCTTTCCATCTCAAGAGCAGATTTTTTAAATACCTGAGAAAATATACTGCCTTTGTTGGTTCTGTCTTACTGTCAGTGATAGCATTGGCTTTCCTCCCCCCAGTCTAAGCTTTGAATGGCCAAGTCTGCTTTCTAAAGAAACTTATTTAATTTTTGAAATGACCTACACGCTATGAATATTCTGTTGAGCTTGGAATCTAGTATGTGTCGCAGACATTTTTTCATAGAAATCCTTTCTTTCAGATTTGTTCATCTTCTGGGAAGCTGAGGCCCCAGAAAGAGAATGTAAACACTGATTATCAGCTGCTGTGGAATGCAATAGGATGCACCTGTGATTGGTTCATGTTCCATGTGTACAATTAAGGGCCAATCACAGGGCAAGCTCTCTGGAACACAGGGACAGAGAACTCTCTTGTTTTTGGATTCTTTTCTATGCTATTCTTAGCTTAGCAGCCTCTGCAACTTCTCTCCTTATTTTTTTTTAGTATAGTTATAATGTATTATATACCATATATCAATAAATCCAGCCTTCTGATCATGAAACAAGATTCTCCACTTCTCTCACCCATGGAGACCTTCGTCAGGTCGCTGTAATATAGTATGTGTCAAAAAATAAAAATTAATTGCATTATCCAGTGTCCAGTGTTCTGTGCAGTGCTTTTTCTTTCTATTAATAATCTGTGAGTTGTAGAAATGTTTTCAGACAGTATTTGTTCTAGAGGAGTAGGTTTGGCCAAAGTATTAATGTTATTCATTAACACGTGAGCAGTATATGATCTTGTATGCTGGGAATTCTATGTTATTTAAAAATTAAAAAAACAACATTGTAATTCCTTGATTTTTAATCATAGTACTAAAGAAATTCTTGGTTGAGTTGTAGTAATAAAATTTAGCAAAATGCATACATGAACATTTATACAATATACAAATAGATTTAGGCTATTTAGTATTGGCAGCATATTTTTCTGTTGATATCAGTTAAAGTTTATGTAAACAGTTTATATGTTTTAGTCTTTTTCATCCATCAAAGCATAATATTTGTGCTGAAAAATCTACTATTAAATAGAATATTGATGTTGCCCGTGCCGTAATCTGCTTTTGTGAAATACCTCATAATGAAAGATTTTGAAATATGAAAGTTGTGTAAAAGATGACCAAATAAGTCTACTGTTTGTGTAGTTGCTTGAAATTTGTGTAAATTTTGTATCTGATTAAATGCAAATATTTTGGTTTTCCTCTTTCTCTTTAGCTATTAAACAGTTTCAGTAAGTGATCAGAAGTATAAGTAATTTGCAGTGTAGGCAGCTTTGATTTTCCCCATGTTCACATAAAATTGGGGGATAACTTGCCATACAACTTCAAAGAGAAAGTTGATTACTTTGGACCTTCTTTTCATTAACTGTGGAGATGCAGAGCTGCCTGCTCTAGGCTGTGCAAGCCTGGTTTTGGAACTGAAACCTTTTTATCTCACAGATTGTAGATTTGTAATCTAGTATCTACTGTTATTTTCACAGGCATGTGTGTGGTGACATGGGCACCTGGACCTTGACTTCTTTATTTTTAAAAGCTGCTATACATTTATCAAAAGGAGTCTTTGACACCATAGTTCTGTTGCTACAGATAAAATTTGGCATTTTGACATGGAAAAAAATCTTGTAAGACTGTTAATGAAGCTAAATGCATGTGTGTGTGTATGTGACAGCTACAAATCTGTGCAGTGGGCCCATATTGTTTCAACAATGATCTGAAACTTTTTAAGTTTATAGAAGAGTACAGTACTTGTACTAATTTGGCATACATTACACTGCATAAGCCTTTTAAAAAAATAGTGATAGAAAATTAGCTCTAGCTTTTATTTGTTGTTTCTTTACTTTTTTTTTTTCCTTCAATCTTCGGATTTGGTAGTCTGTTGCACTTGGAGCAATAGGCTGTTGAACAGCTTTGTCTTCAAGCAACTAATTTCATTTTAGTGTTACATTTAGAAACATTGCCAGCTTTTTTTCATTATTTTAGCTCTCTAGTTCCACAGCCTTGGAAGGGAAAGGACAATTAAAATTTACTTCGGGCAGATGGAGTCCACACCACAATTGTACCCAGATTGCCACGGCCAACGATACCACTGTCCGAGGCTGGGACACACGGAGCATGAGGTAAGGACAGCTTGCAGTCATGTTCTCTAGAAAACCAATCTCCTTTGGAGGGAGATTTTTGCATTGCTCCTAGCATAAGTTTTTTTTGTTTGAAATTATAAGTGGCAATCCTATATCTTATAAAAGGAATAGAAAGGCTTGCATAGCTGATATAGTTACAATTTAACAAAGATTTTTCTCTGGTATTTCCCCTCAGCTTCAATTCTAACTTGTATATTGAGTTTTATTGAACCCTGTACTAGTCTCACAAGGATTTGTTCAATACATAGGAATTACCTGAATGAAGCTCTTTTGTAATTCAACCTGAAAATGCTTTAACAGCAGTCCTGACTATGCTATGAGCTATCTTCATAGCATTTAAAGGTGACTTTAATCTTGGAAGGCAATTCACAAGTTCACTATTCACTTCTGATTTTAACAAAGTGTTCTATACGAGACTAATGATTGTAGCATACTGGGTATAAGAAATCACTGAATCTATCAAAATCATAACCAAATAAAAGCTTTGAATATACCTAATAAGGCATTTCCCCCCCTTCTTAGTTGTGATTTTGATAAGCAAAGGAGTGATGTTGTGCACATCTGTTGCCATGACTACTAAAGCCTCTTCAAGCTTTTTTAAAAGTACACTTTATCCCCTTAGCACATAGTAATTTATCACTAAACTGAGAAGACTGATGTCTTGTAATAACTTTTGTTGCTTTAAAGGGCGATGACTTTAAATTTAGTTCAGTGGTTCCTGCCAGCTCAGAGTTTTAGCAATAAATCCCTTGTTTGCTAGTCTTTGTGGTTTTCCTGAAAAGATTTATTTAATGAAGGAAAGTTAAAAATACAATAATTAAAAGTCACTTCCTGTGAAGTGTTTGAAAATCATGTTTGAATGTCCTGTTCTTTGCCTTGTAAAATTATATATAAAAGTCTAATTTTATGTAATGTGTATACTTACATTTATAAAGACATCTTACAAAGACAAGAGTGGAGAGAGAGGACAAAGGAGAAGGGGTTTTATTAATTTGCTTTTTTTCTAACATATAGCATGCAGATCTTTAACCAAAGCTTGTGTTTTGAAGAAAGAATATTAAATATTGTGAAGTCTGTCTCATGCTCTGTCTCATTAGAAGAAGCATCTCTATCTTGCATCAAAGGAATTCTCTGAGTAACTTTGATGAAAGCTAGATTATCTAGATATTGTAGTCTGGACCCTCAGTGAAAGGGGTAGCTTGGTTAACAGAAGCAAATCCCACTATTGTATTTACTTTAAGTAAAGCTCAGAGTAAATAATTCCTTAGATCTGGTTTGCCCTTAAACCAGTTTGATAACTAGACTATGCCAAAGAGCTGTTTGCAATATACTCAAAAAGTATGTGCAATAATAAGTCTCATCTTCCATTAAGCTATAATATGTCTATTATGTGAATATTTCATAATGATTAGTTAGGCTAGAAGTAAGAGTTTAAAGTCAGGGCAATATAAACGGTGGCAGAATAAGAAGCATAAAAAGAAGGAGGAGGGAGGGATCAAGGGCAGAAAACTGTCCTACCAGCAAAGTGAAGAGAAATACTAGAAGCAGCTGGAGTAGCTGCTCCTGCAGAGTGTGGTTACGATAGCTGCAAGATAGAGGAAGTACATTCCTTTGGACATAGCAAACAAAGAAGGGAAGAGAAAAAAGATGATTGTCAGGAAGAGTCCTAGACTAGACTAGGAAGCAGTCGTAATCAGAGAAGAGCTTGTGAAGCAGAGAAGACAGACATTAGGCTGATTAGATTTAGAGAGAGAACTTTATCAGGAAAATTCAGACTCCAAGGCTAAATTCTAAATAATATGTAAGAAGAATAATATGAGCCAATAGCTGGAGAAAATGTTCATGTGGTCTGGCATTAATCTTATAATGTAAGGGGGAAATTTAGTGTATGTGTTATTGCTGTAGGTAGGGTGAAAAGTGATTAAAAGAATATTCATATTTGGGGAGGAAAGGGATCAAATGGTCAGAATAATAGTTAAGATCAAGTCTTTCATGGTGAATAGTCCTGAATATACACGGACAGTAGTATTTTTAAGCCCTTACACACAGGTCTAAGCAATGCAAGAAAAAAGTGATAGGTGCAGTGAAGGAGGAAAGATGTGTGTTACCACAGCAAGCATGCTTGAGACTTAGTATTTTTGCCATATACATATTCTAAAAAATAAGTGGAAGCTTGAATTCCACTCCTAGAATACTTGGTACAAAGGCTTACCTGAATGATATCCTTAGCCCCTCAAACTCTGAGGAGACTGTTGATGCTAGATATCTTAGTAATTTAACTGGTGACAGCCAGAACTGTCAAGACAGGGCTTAGTACAGGCCTGATAACTTTGAATCTCTCCTTCTGGAGCAATTTTGCTTTGTATTTGTAGTTAAATATTAACAGCAAGAGACTATCTGATCGTGACAAAAAACCAAAAGTATATGTAGTTTTTACAAGAAATAGGAATTTTTGGTCAGTATGTTTACTGAAGAGAAACATTTTTCATTTAAAGAATAACAAAAAGCTCATCAAGTGTTGAAAAGTTCCAGTGAAGACTGTAGGGGATGGTCAAGTCTAAGCAGAACTTCAGATGATATATTGGTGGCTTGGAGAAAACTGGTCATAAAATTGTGGAAACAGGAAAAATCAGACAACCCCCAAGTTTAAGAGGCAAGGTAGGGACACAAACTGATGGCACATGATGTTTAGAATAGATATGCTAGGTTGTTAGCAGTAGAACAGATGTTTTCTAAAGTGGTCCAGATGGATGAGGTTGTGTCTGGCTGAGTAGTTTAAGGGCCACGGGTAAATTAGTGATAAATGCAAGAGCTCAAGAAGGTAAATTCAATACAGAGCTGTAATAAAAAGTTGTCGTTGATATCTGTTCCAATTTGCATCTCAGCTTTTCCTACTGAAGTAGATGTCATAAACAGGGAATTAGTAAAACTACTTAGGGGTGAAGAAGTTCTTACCTGAAACTGTTGTGGTTTAGTAGCAGACATTTATAACAGTTGTTCCAGAGCTGTGCTAGAATCATCTGGAACTACTATTTCCTTTTAACTCTAGATGATCCTAATGGAAACAAACATGGAAGGAACAAAGCGTCACAGCAAGCTGAGAAATCTGTACAAGTCACTGTTGTTAACAACTGGGAATTCCCTAAACTCTGCAATAAGAATGGGAGCTCTAGGTCTGTGGGTGCTAAGGGGATTATGCAAGTTTCCAGGGAAACAGATTTCTGTAGGTGGAGTGCAGTCAGCTTTTATAGACCATTTAATCTCTTTTAATGTTTTACAGGCAGATATATTGTATAGAAAATGCTCATGGACAGCTGGTACGAGACTTGGACTTCAATCCCAATAAACAGTACTACCTGGCTAGCTGTGGAGATGACTGCAAGGTGAAATTCTGGGACACAAGAAATGTCACTGAACCAGTGAAGACACTAGAGGAGCATTCCCACTGGTAGAACAAATTATCTGCATGCTGTTTTGTGGGTGGATGGCTTATATCATTTATTCTGCTAATTATTTTATCGTTTAGGAGCAATGCAAACTAACTATGTTTGTACTGTTGTGCATAATCGTTTTTTTGCACAGAGGAAAAATTTCAGCGTGCCAATGTTCCTTGTGTAATTGTAAATTAAGAGTTTAGACAACATTAGTCTAATTGGCAAGAAACTGTTGTTAGCATTGCTGGGAGATGGGTACACCTTTGAGAAGCACAGCACAGAACTTGGCCCGTGGGGCCCAGCTGGGACACAGGTGTGCCTTCCCAAATGGAGCCTGATGTGCTGCACCTGATGTGCAGTAATAAAGCAGCTGCCATCCATCCTTCTGTTGTCACATAGTTGAAATATTCAGTAATGCAGCTCAACTTCTTTATGTTCTTCACAGTCCTTAAGTCAGAATATGCATTGAATAATTTTATTCTCTGAAATAACATTTAGAGCCAGTATCTACTGCACTGGCCTGTGGCTGGAGTAAGGAGAGACTCTTGCCTGATAATTTCAGTGCTTAAGAAAATATGAATTATTCATATTTTATAAAATTTGGGTTAGAGTAATTCTTGCAAAATAGATCCAGTCCCTAAAGCTACTTCAAGGGAGATGAAGATGGGAATTAACAGAAGCATTATTTATACTTTTTTTCTTCAGAATATTCATAGAAAAGGAACAAGACAAGAACCATAAGACATTTGGTATTAACTTGATATGTAAAATGTAAAAATTGAAGAGAAATATAGTCCTACATTTGTTTTAGGATCTCTTTTAAACTTCACTGTAAGAATGTTGCGAGTTTTTTGTTTAAAAGGCTATTTTTAATCCATATTTTGCTTTGGGGAAATTTTTATATTCAGGACTTAAGTACTTATCTGGCTTACTCAACAATGATTGGCATGTACCCTCAAGGAATGATACCATTGAATGGTGTGATTTGGTTTGGTTTTGTTTTGTTTTTAATTTAATTGTTGAGTTTTAAAGATGCCTCATAGAAAACAGGTGACATGGAAGCTTAAAAGGCTAATGAAGATGGCAAAAAAATGGTCTTTCGAATGAGGCATGTTACTTCTATGCATATTTAAAACATTGAAAAGATGAATTTTTAGTGCTGCTCTTAAAAAACTTGTTTAACAGTGATGCACTACCTACCATGAATAGTCTCTCATTCTGTCTGATTTTAATTTTTTTAGGGTCTGGAATGTCAGATACAATCATTCTCATGATCAGCTGATCCTTACAGGAAGCAGTGATAGCAGAGTTATCCTGTCTAATATGGTATCAATTTCTTCTGAACCATTTGGCCATATGGTAGATGATGATGAACTCAGTGACCAAGAGGACCAGCATCAAGAAGAGAAGTATGAAGTTTCCTGAGTTTTATGTAGATGCTTATAATTTGTAGTTTCATTGTAATGGTTTACATGCTATTTTTTTTTTGCTGACTAGGATTTCTGTGTACAAGCCTTTCAGGTAAGTAGTTAGAATTCCCACTCTGTTCTTTATTCAGTCTTGGGTGGAATACACTCTTTAAATCTGATTGGCATGGTCACTCCACATTCACTGGTAGGAAGGGAATGGTGATGCTGAGGATCAGTCCTAAAGTCCACTGGGTTGGTGAGAAGATTCACTTTAAGGGAGCTCTGGTTCAAGTCAAGCATGTAGAATAATCTGGGTTAAGTTGCAATTTGAAAATATGCTTTTGTATTTTCTGTGTATGTGTTAGGACCTTTGGGAAATGTTAGCAGTCTAATGATGAGCTTCTGCATGAGCAGAAGAAATGAAGTATAAACACATTATTATTTTTGTTTTTAATTTTGCTCTTAACATCTCTGACTGCTCTGGAATCCAGTAACTCATCAGACCTAGATCAAGCAAACCAGAAGCTTGGTTTCAATACTCTTGGTAAAGAATAGTGCATGCTATTGGCAAATGTGGTAAACCTTTCCATTTGGTTTGTATGGAATCAAATTATTTCCTTGTGAATTTTGTATGGATGGGGTTTTAGTAAATTAACTGTATATATGTGTATATAGGAAGTTCTGTAGATTGAGGTTGAGCTGAGGCTTTCTTATTTTGTGACTAGCTTTCATGGTGATCTTCAGCAAACTCTTCCTTTACAAAGTGAATCACAGAATTACAGAATGAATTAGATTGGAAAAGACCTCTGAGATCAGAGTCCAACATATGACTGAACATCACTGTGTCAACTAGACCCTGGCAATGACTGCCACCCTCAGTCTTTCCTTGAACACCCCCAGGGATGGTGATTCCACCGCCTCTCTGGGCAGCCCATTCCAATTTCTAATCACCCTTTCTGTGAAGAAATTTCTCTAAATGTCCAACCTAAACCTCCCCTGCTCGAGGCTGTGTCCTCTCCTGTCACTTGATGCATGGGAGAAGAGACTGACCCCCAGCTGGCTACAGTATCCTGTTAGGCAGCTATAGAGGGCAGTAAGGTCACCCCTGAGCCTCCTGCAGACTAAGCAGCCCCAACTCCCTCAACCCCTCCTCGTATGACTTATTAGACCCTTCACCAGCTCCATTGCCCTCTTCTGCACAGCTCTGCTAAGCTGTCTGCAATGATGCCGGCAGATTAACTCCTGAATGATCTTTTAAAATACAGAATAGTCAGATGTGATAAGGAAATTACAAAAAAGATCCACTAGTTATTCAGCTGTGTTTGCTAGATGTTTCAGCTAAAATTTTTAAAGTTTAGGTTACTTCTCTAGTTGCATTTTTAAGGTTGCTCTTGAACCTTAATTTTATTAATATATATGTAGTTTTACTACATATATATTAATAAAATATAAATGAAGCCAAAACACCAAATAGTTTTGGTGTTTTGGCTTCATTTAAACTATGGACCTGGAAACGATTATATTTTAATACTAAGTAAGAAAGTTACTCCAAATATAGAAAAGGTTTATTTTAAATGTACCACATTTCATTAGAAGATTTTTCTCCATGTATTGTAAGTGCCTGAAAAATCAAGGAGTATCAAATTAAATACCTAAAAATTTGCTCACATCAGCAGTATATACTTTCTAGAATGTAACTGAGTTACAGTGCTTTAAATATAAAATCAAAGAATGGTTTGTGTTGGAAGGGTTCTTTAAGATCACCTAGTTTCAACTCCTCTGCCATGGGCAGAGACGTCTTTTGGTTCCTTATCTTTGGCTGGAGATTGCAATTTATTCTGTTCTGGATGGAAAACAAATAGCATTAGGGGAAATGAGAAAGGGACCGCATTTTTTTTAATGTGGTGGGAATGCATTAAAAATATCACAAGTGTAAATAGCATTCTGACAGACATTGTGCAGTAGATTATCTGTAATGCTGAACTTCTGTGGATTTTAGACTGTATAGGTTGCCTCATTAAAACATTGAGTCATTGTTCTAGAATATGAATTTTTTAATCCAAGATCATCCAGTGCAATACAACAAATGTAGTGCATCTTTTCCCATGGCTGTGGGATGGATGTAAACCACAGCATGAATGACTTGTATGGTAATAATATAGAGTCCTTGCCTGTTCCTGGAGGCTACAAGAGTATCAATTCTGCATTTGCTCTTTAAATATGTGCTTTTCAACTGCTCACCTGTTTTTTATAAAACCTGGGAAAGCACATTAGCTTTTGTAACCTTTGCTTGGTACTGTCAAAGTCTTGTTTTAGGCTCCCTCTTCTGCCCCCTTGTTATGAGTTGAGTCAGAAGGATGTTTGCAAGCTGCTGCAGGCTTGAACTGTTGCCAAATATAGGTCTGTTTAGTTCTGAGTGCACAAATGAAGTAGGGCATAACAGCTGTTGGGAATACTTCTTGTTAATCAACCACTATTGCCAAATATTTCAGCTCTGATAACCTCCTAGAGACCTCTGTGAAGAGTCTGTTACACCATTCCATGGGTACTGTCTTTGGTAAAATACAGATTTTCACTCTATGGTTTAATGAGGGACAGGTGTGTTTGGTTTTTATTTTTGTGGGTTTTTGTTTGTTTGTTTTTGTTTGTTTGTTTGTTTGTTTTTTGCTTAGGTATGTTCTAGACTTTTCAAAAAGTGTTATAGTCTCACAAGGTTTATTTATCCTGTTTTTGGAGGACATCTGATTTGTTGTTAAACAGCACACAAATACTGATAAATAGAATGTCTTTTTCAGGTGTATCTTGAAATACACCAGGAAGAGCCTGTATTTTTACAACTTGTGTCTTTAGCCCCCTCAGACTGAGTACCATATCTCTCTTGGAAAGTTAAAATATCAAGTGGAAAGAAAGAAAAAGACTCTTCCTGCATTTTATTTTCCTGAACAGAATCACTTGTGAAAATCCTCCTTGGAATGAATATAAAAATGATGACTATGTGTCAGTTTTATTTTCAAAGGTTTATTGTTTTTTCTACTTAGTAAAAACAAGTATTTTTCCCATATTTTGAAAACATTGCACAGTTAAAACTGCTTCTTGAGATCTTTAAGACTTGTTAATTCTTAATATCTTTTAGAGTAAATTTCCTTATTTTTACTTTATTTCTTGGTTGGAGACAAAAACAAATAGTATGTCGCTTTACCCTTCCTTGTTCAACCATGTTGAGCTATGCATGAATCTGCCCACTCAATAATTCTTGCCAGATTTACTGCTGTAGTTGCCTGGTTTCAAGGTTCCCAACTGAAAATAATTATTTGGAGATGAATTTTTTCAAAAGAAAAGAATTCAAGTTCATTGCATAATGAGTAGACAAACGAAAACATAGTTTGAATTCTCTTATGAGGAGTCTTCATAAGAATTTCTTCTTAGTGTGTTCTTCCCTCAGTGTTTGTCTGTTGACATCTTGGGCCTGTCTGCTCCCGTCTTAGAGACCAGAACAGGCTTGAATAAGCAATATAACTAGGACTGTTGCATGAACATCTATCTCTTGCTGAAATCAACTGGTTCCTTTTAACTTCTGGTTTAGGTCAGACTCTAAGTCAAGTCTGTTTTTTCCCTACTGTTTAACTGCTGCTGTTGTTTCTCTCATCAGTCAAAAAAGGTAAGAGCAGGCAGCTTCCCTGTGTCATGTCAAAGGTCTTCCTAGCATGTATCATGTGTCTCGTAGTACTCAGGAGAAAAAATAATAGAAATAGGAAAAGGAGATGTACTTCCCCTGGATATGTTGCTAGCCCCTGACTATTTGCAGTTCAGGGACATTTACTGCCTTCTGAATAATCTTTGGGGACTTCTGATTCTTCCATGTATGCTTTTCCTTTGCTATCAGCCATATTCTTATCTGCTCTCACTAACTGTGTTTTTGTTTATTCTAAAATGTGCCAGCTGTGCTTGCATGGTTTTTGTGAAATTTGTCTAGGAGAAACATGCCAACTGTGTTTGTTTTCTTGCTCTGAATTAAGAAAGGCTTCAGTGCTCTCGGCATGGGAAGCACAAAGCCACTGTTGAAAATAGGTCGTCCGAGAAGAGGCTGGAGTTGTCCACAGAGAAGAGCTATAGGCATGTGGCCAAAGGACAGTTATGCTATATTCTGGTCAAGTCCCCAGTCTGGATTATGTAAAGCACAGTTCAAATATGGGGGGAAAAAAACCCCACAACAGAGAATGAAGTGCTGTACTAGTTCAGTTTCTAGCACCTTGATCCAAGGGTAGAAAAAAGTGTCCAAAATAAATGAAAATATAACAGATGAGGGTGAGTACAACTTGGGTTCATTTAGGTTTCATCCTCAAAACAAAGCTAATGTGCCTGAATAAGAACATGAGGAGTGATTTTCAATGCCTAAGTTTGAACAAAACTTTCAAAACATGGAATCATTCCACATCTGTGGATGCAATTGCTTGTCAGGCTTCTCCTTGACCTCCTTTGGTGGCTTTGTACTCTGTTGTTGCAAGAGCTTTCTCCCTGCAACACTGAGCTAGCTTGAGTCCTAAATCTCCTCAAGGTGACTGTCAGCTCCTTGTAAGATACTAGGAGAGCATTGGGAACTGTCTTCCTCCTAAGGGAGCTAGTGAGTGTCTTATATCCATCCTTTAGTCTTTGGTCATCCAAAATCCTGATGTTAGTGAGTGAGTCTATATGTTACTGTATTAAATTATTCTGATAGTCATTTAAACTCTACATTGCTCTTTCTAACAATAAAAGAAAGCTACTAAGTTCTGGCAGTTTAGTGTGGCCATCTTTACTTGCCGATCAGGATTCCTTTTCTTCAGTTACTCCAATACGTGTGTTTGGCTTATAGGTTTAAATTATGCACTGTGTAGATCTCTGTTTGGTATGCTGGTGATACACAGCATGAGAAGAATAGTTGGAGCAAGGTACATGCTGTATCTACAGCAGTGTTTTTATTCTTCATTACTTCTGTAGCCAGAACTTTGTGACAAGGCTCA